TTCGTCATCAAGATATTGATGCTGCTGATCCGCAACTTCAAGTTTTTTTTGTTTTTTGTGACTCCGCTCTAATCTGATCACGATGAAGGAACATTAAAGTGATGACATGAAAGAAAATTTCCTGAGGAAAACTTTTTTTCTTAGATGTGCTGCTAGAAGTTGTTGGGGGAATAGGCGGATATATATGTATAAATATATTGTTACGCCGTCTCTTAATTTACTTAAATATTCAGGTTCTAGGCGTAACCAAACAAAAATGTGAAGTAAATTAAAAGGGAATAAAAATAAGAATTTAATTAATTAAATATTAACACAATAAAGAGCCTCGCAGGCTGTCACAACAAATTGATTCACCATCGAAACTTTTAAGACACAAATGATACTAAACATCGAAACATCAAAAGAATAAAAATAAAGCATTGGATTACGTTAACACTGCATAAACATATAAAAACTAACACTGAAATTAACTAACGTGAAACAACACTGAATTACTTAAATGTAACGAAGCAAATACTGATGGACATAAATAGAGACATAAATAGGTACTCACATAGATATACCACATTGGTGGCGACAGGAACAACACAAATAAATTAAGTATAAGTAACAGGTGACGAGAGTCACTCAAAGGATGTGAACTGTATGACAAGAGGACTGAACTGCCTCTGTCTACAGGTGGAGTACTATATATATGGTCGGTTCGCGCCAAGCGACCAGCCGGTGAACATGGGTCGTTTAACGATGCAGATGGTCGTTAGAGCAACACAGAATGCTTGTTACAATACTAAATGAAGAAATAAGATGGGCTTGAACAAATAATAACAGTTAAAACCTTAACAGCACAGGGTAAGGCGACTAGATAATATAATAGTAAATAAAACACATCATTACAGGAATAATATGGAACATGGAAGCATGTTATATAAAAAAATACATACGCAATGTAACAATATATATATATATATATATATATATATATATATATATATATATATATATATATATATATATATATATATATATATATATATATATATATATATATATATATATATATATATATTTATTTATTTTTATTTATTTTTTTTCCATTAGGTTAGGTTAGGTTAGGTTAGGTTAGAGTTCTTTGCCTAGAGATAGTAACATTAACAAATCCTGATATAGATAGTTATATAGTCCTTAAAATATCCGATCTACCAAAACCTAAAAAAAAGGAAAAAATTGGAGACATTGATGGAAAGTTACAAGAACGACTCGAGAAACGTTTTAGGCTTCACTCTTGACTGGTTGGCTGCCTTCACAGTGTCACCTGGAGGAAATAACTCTATTTTTTGTCAGTTTCCTTTGAAGGTTGTTTTTAATAGCGTGTGGTAGTTAGCCGTTTATGGGTAGTTAGGTCGTTAAGACTGGGGCAGTGGGACGGCTGTTAAGGAAACCAAGGATTGAGTTTTTCTTCTCTTTAAAAGATAGTTTAGAGATAATCAATCTCTCTCTCTCTCTCTCTCTCGCTCTCTCTCTCTCTCTCTCTCTCTCTCACGTTATAGGGAACAAAGGGAGAGGCCAACCACCCTTAACACAACCTAACTACACTATATAAACGCCCTATCAACTATTCTTCCAGTTGATTAACCCAACAGTCAATCCCGTCCATCAGTGAGCGAGTGACTATTGGTGGTGAGGGGTCGAAGGCCGAGCTAATGATGCGACTCTGATTGCCGGTGTCAGACAGTGCCAGGAAGTGCCTAGCTACGAGGGACTGAGAGGGGGGGGGGCGGATGGAAGGGGATATGCTCACTTGGATGAGTTCGAATGGGAGAGGAGGGATGGAGGGAAGGAGGGGAGGAAAGAGGGAGGATAGAGGGAGGTAAAAGGAGGAGAAGGAAGGAAGGGAGAAGAGGGAGGAGGGTAGGAATGAGAGGCGGGAAGAGGAAAGGAGGAATGGGTATATAAGAGCAGTTATCATGAGTCGAGAATATGCTCGTCCACTCAAGAGTTGTTTCACCACCCACAAACACACCCACTCAAGAGTTGTTTCACCACCCACAAACACACCCACTCAAGGGTTGTTTCACCACCCACAGACACACCCACTCAAGAGTTGTTTCACCACCCACAAACACACCCCACTCAGAGTTGCTTGACCCCACCCACAAACACACTCCACTCAAGGGTTGTTTCACCACCCACAAACATACCCACTCAAGGTTGTTTCTACTCACCCACAAACACACCCACTCAAGGGTTGTTTCACCACCCACAAACATTACTCCACTCAAGGGTTGTTTCACCACCCACAAACACGCCACCTTACTCTCAAGAGTTGTTTTCCACCACTCCACAAACATTACCCACTCATGGGTTGTTTCTACCACCACAAACACACCCACTCAAGAGTTGTTTCACCACCCACAAACACACCCACTCAAGAGTTGTTTCACCACCCACAAACACACCCACTCAAGGGTTGTTTCACCACCCACAGACACACCCACTCAAGAGTTGTTTCACCACCCACAAACACACCCGACAGTGGACTCATATTAATGCTGTGTGCGTCAGTGTTGTGATACTCAACCCACTGAGGTACAGACACTCAGTTATTTTCCATCTTCAACAATAACTCTCATACGTGTGTAGTCTTCAGTGGATCTTTCCTGCCCGCGAGGCATTATTTACCGTGGAGCCACACTGTGTCCCCTGTCTGTTGAAAATGACACCGAAAATATATTTCGTTCGCCAGAAAAATATTGGTAATGCCACCAAATATGTATATTTTCCGGGACAACACTGCTGCTACACGCTCTTCATTTGCATATGGGCATGAATATTTCCGTATTAAATGGTGGATGTATTATGTAATTCAGACCTCTCATCATTTCATATTCATACGCTGAATAAACTCATCCTCCTAACTCACATAATGACGGATTATTAAAAAACAATGATGACGAATAACAATTACAGGCAATAAGAGGAGTGATGAGGACGTTAATGATGGGCCAAAATGACCTGACTTTTGACAGTGTGGAGTCGAGGCCTTCATGCTGTAGCCCTCCGCCTGTTATTACCCTGAACGTTAGTGTTGGTGTCAGCTGAATGAGCGGGTGTAGTAACCAGCTTAATGGTACTAATTTCTAATAATACGGCTTCTCTATTGGCTCCCATATGCAGTGTATTTTCATAAACAAAATTTTGAACGAATTCACATTTAACCTATGGGATGTGGTGGCCGAGTGGGTATAATGCTCGCCTCCTGTACTATGGGTCTCTGGTTTGCATACGGGGTACTGTCAGCTGTGAATGATTTCCTAACTTTATATTTGAGAACGTGAAGGCGGTCGTATACCGTCCCGGCCACACTGCCTGCTTGTTTAACAGAGGCTTGGTGCTCAGTGTGCTGTATCCACTCCGCACATAACGGGCCGTTAGGTAAATAGGACCAATTTTCGCTTTCCATATTTGCTGTGGTTGTGATTGCAGTCTGTATCTAACTATGCTGCCAGCTGCCTTTGTGTGGCAGAAGTGTAATTCCAGAGCGGAGAGAGCCACAGTTTTTCTACCTGGCGAACACAGTATATAATTATACTCAAACTGATAGCCCTCGAGCTTCTTTGCTTATGAGGTCCAAGGTCAAGGTCACTGCTTTCATAATAGACACAAGACAGTGTTAGACACCAACCAGCATTGGACACCAACCAACATTAGACACCAACCAACATTAGACACCAACCAACATCAGACACCAACCAACATCAGACACCAACCAACATTTTAAAAACATTAACTAAAATAAATATACTCTCACGCGCTGCATTATATAAATATGTTTCACAGTTCGTATTTTTTCAGGTCACTAATTATATTCACATCGTGTATAAAGTCCTAAATTGGCTGTGAATGCAGGTAATTATATCTAGTTCAGTTAGACCGTAAGGAATATACGAGTCGAATCAAGAACATTTAAATATCAGTGTTAAGTGAACGCAGTGAGTGAGTCGACCAACCCACTGTGTTGATAAATATCTCCATGTCAACTGAAGCTTCCATCTTTGTTATCTGATCTCTATGATAACTCCTTCTAAGTTACATAAATCAATCTAGATAGCTTTATAACCCCTTGTGAAGTAGGTGAAGAAAAATCTGTTATCTGAATTAATGCATGGAGAGTCAGATACATGTCTAATCTAGAGTAATCTGGAGTAATCTGGAGTAATCTGGAGTAATCTGGAGTAATCTGGAGTAATCCGTGAAAAAAACAGAGATATATGCAGGTTGTGAAGGAAAAAATAATACGAGTAAATCAGTAAAAAGTCATGAATCTGTAACCGGGAGTAAACTGTGACAAAAATTCAAAGGCGAAGCAAAATATCAGTATCTAGAGAAATCCGCATGAAAAATATAACCTAGATATATCTTATAATCTGGAGTAATCTGTGAAAGCCTTCCAGTAACCCTGAGGGAGGAGAGACAACCCTCTTATTAAACCTGACCCAGAAGCAAAAATTCTGGGACCTATTAAGATGATTAAAAGTTAGGAAGACGCAGCTGGTAAGACCCAGAACGACGTGTGTACCATAATAATGTGTGCACCATAATGACGTGTGTACCATAATGACGTGTGTACCATAATAATGTGCAAATTATAATGATGTGTGTACCATAATAATGTGTGCACCATAATGACGTGTGTACCATAATGACGTGTGTACCATAACGACATGAACTGTATGCCCCACTAACAGTCACCAGTAAACACACATACACAAGAACACAGACGTACAGTTGGGCACTTTTCCCACTGTGGGTTAAGGAAGGTTGTCGGGGTTAGTGGCATAATAGGTTGACTTTACAAAACTGTTGCACTAAAATATCAACACGAGCCGTACCTCCATCATCAACACGAGCCGTACCTCCATCATCAACACGAGCCGTACCTCCATCATCAACACGAGCCGTACCTCCATCATCAACACGAGCCGTACCTCCATCACTTCACCATGGTTACCTCCATCATCAACACGAGCCGTACCTCCATCATCAACACGAGCCGCCAAACTCCATCATCAACACGAGCCGTACCTCCATCATCACCAACACGAGCCGTAACTCAATCATCAACACGAGCCGTACCCATCATCAACACGAGCCGTACCTCTCCATCATCAACACGAGTCAACTCAACCATCAACACGAGCCGTACCTCCATCATCAACACGAGCCGTACCTCCATCATCAACACGAGCCACCTCCATCATCAACACGAGCCGTACCTCCATCATCAACACGAGCCGTACCTCCATCATCAACACGAGCCGTACTCTCCATCATCAACACGAGCCGTACTTCCATCATCAACACGAGCCGTAACTCAATCATCAACACGAGCCGTACCCATCATCAACACGAGCCGTACCTCCATTCATCAACACGAAGCCGTACCAATCATCAACACGAGCCGTACCTCCATCATCAACACGAGCCGTAACCTCCACCATCAACACGAGCCGTACCTCCATCATCAACACGAGCCGTACCTCCATCATCAACACGAGCCGTACCTCCATCATCAACACCGAGCCAGCCCATCATCAACAACACGAGCCGTACCTCCATCATCAACACGAGCCGTACTCCATCATCAACACGAGCCGTACCTCCATCATCAACACGAGCCGTACCCCATCATCAACACGAGCTGCACCAACCATCAACACGAGCCGTACCTCCATCATCAACACGACACTCAATCATCAACACGAGCCGTACCTCCATCATCATCACGAGCCGTACTTCCATCTCAACACGAGCCGTACTTCATCATCAACACGAGCCGTACCCATCATCAACACGAGCCGTACCTCCATCATCAACACGAGCCGTACCTCCATCATCAACACGAGCCGTACCTCCATCATCAACACGAGCCGTACCTCCATCATCAACACGAGCCGTACCTCCATCATCAACACGAGCCGTACCTCCATCATCAACACGAGCCGTACCTCAATCATCAACACGAGCCGTACCTCCATCATCAACACGAGCCGTACCTCCATCCAAAATAAACTTTACATTAAAACAGAAAAAAAAATCCATGGGTACATTAACTTTCACCTGGAGATAAAGTGTGTATGTATGGTATTAAAATATATTTGTATTTTATCTGTTCTTGTAATAAAAGTAATGTGTATTGTACAAAAACTATACTAAATTTAACTGCACTTAAAATAAACTTGATATATCATAACTATATCTAGGAAGAAGAAATACCTAGTATAACCTTACCTAGTATAACCTTACCTAGTATAACCTTACCTAGTATAACCTTACCTAGTATAACCTTACCTAGTATAACCTTATCTAGTATAACCTTACCTAGTATATCTTTACCTAGTATAACCTTACCTAGTATAACCTTACCTAGTATAACCTTACCTAGTATAACCTTACCTAGTATAACCTTACCTAGTATAACCTTACCTAGTATATCCTTACCTAGTATAACCTTACCTAGTATATCCTTACCTAGTATATCCTTACCTAGTATAACCTTACCTAGTATAACCTTACCTAGTATAACCTTACCTAGTATAACCTTACCTAGTATATCCTTACCTAGTATAACCTTACCTAGTATAACCTTACCTAGTATAACCTTACCTAGTATAACCTTACCTAGTATAACTTCCTAGTATAACCTTACCTAGTATAACCTTACCTAGTATAACCTTACCTAGTATAACCTTACCTAGTATAACAAAATAAATATGATGAAGTTCCAAACAATCTGGATTTTGTACTTACCACAGACGCTCCTGAAGCTCTAACCAGAAACCATTGTTAGGGACAAGTTTTTACTACCGTAAGATCATTTTAAAACTCTCGTAAAACAATAAACCCCGTCACAGTACAGTAGTTGTACTTCAGCACAACCACCATGATAAGAATAATCACTCGCTAAGAATTTTAAAGTAGTGCCACGCTTTAGGTACTGTACCAACGGCCTTAATCTCAGATGATTAAAAAATTACATTAGTAAACCTCTGTATCACCGTTCTTGTGTTTTACTTTCTGGAAGACATTGTGTCATCAAAAAGTTGAAGAATGTGATCATAGGTTGTCATAGTATGTTTGCCGAGTAACACTTCATATGAGTGATCTGGCTTAGGAGCTTGGCGAAATTTCTTCTTAAAGGAAAAAAAATTCTTACCTTGAGAAACATAAGAAAAAATGGAGAAATGTGTATTGTGTCACTTCACTTTTATGATTTTTCACGATTTTCCGTACATGGAGGAGAAACTCTTGAAAGACACAATCTCTCAAACAGCATGAAAAGTACTGTGGTGGCTAGAGAAGCCTGTGTATATACTAGGAGAACGTGGGAGATAGAAAGGCACGCAGAATAAAAGGAGAAAACAAGAGAATAGAAAAATAGGAGATGGGTGGGGGAATGGAGGAAGTGATTTGTATGGGTTGGGGAGAGAAGGGAGGAGGTGGGCGTGTCAACCTGTGACGTCATTTTGTTTGTCAACAAGGAGGATCGATAATGAAGGGGACGATGGCTGCTCCGGTAATTATGTGTGTGTGTGTGTGTGTGTGACGTCGACCATTAAACAGTTACAATACCCAAAGAATATACGTCAGAAGGACAACACGACTCAAAGTTACGTACAAACAATTCCTTTATAAAACTAACAACAGTTTATTCTGCTCCTCAAACACCATCTTGTGTCAGCATCGTGGAATAACTTACTCTCACACTGCCTACAGCCAAACAGTTGTCGCACAAACACAGAGTCAATACTGCCACCTTAACTCACAGCGTCAATACTGCAGCCTTTATACAGTCAACAAGGGAATGGTATTAACAACTGCCCTCTCTCTCTCTCTTGACTAATACACGAAGTATAATAACACACACACACACACACACACACACACACACACACACACACACACACTTAAATTCGTATAGTAAATAAAAATAAATTACATTCTTTGTTAAGGAAAACAAAGGAAGAATATTGAGAGCAGTGACGATGATGGTTTAGTGACCTGTCTGTAGTGATGTTATAACACCAACACCAACAGCATACTCAAAGAGTGTGTGCGAGGGGGTGAGGGAGAATGTAAACGAGAAACTAAAGGAAGGAAGGAAAAGAGAGAGAGAACAGTGGACTTCTGCCCCTCCGTCATTGTTGAATATTAAGCACGTGAACCAGATCTCGTTACCAGAGACGAAATATTAATGGGATGTATTTGAGGAGCGAGCAGGAGGCTCCCCCCAGCCAGCCAGCCTTCCGTTACACAAATTCTTCCTGATAAATTAGTGATACCATCTATTTCATACCACAGCAGGGACGCAAGACTTCTGTTCTGACTGTCGCCTGGAGACAGTTTTCACTTCTGGTAGTCCCCCTTCACCGCCCACGACGCTGACGGAGGCCGGGCCAGGGGGCTGTAGAACAAACACTGACCCCATTCTCTCTCTCTCTCTCTCCTTATATACTGTACGAGGCTGTAGCTCTCTTGTTTCTGCTGCAGCTTGTGAATATTTTCTCTCTTGCCAACTATTCTCTCCCGCTGCAGCGCTTGAGGTGGTGGGAAAGACTAGCAACACTCACCCTCCGTCCCTCCCTCTGCCTCCTCTCCTCTCCCTATCTTTCTTCGTCCCTCTCCCTCTTCCCCTTTACATCCTTCATCCATCAATCCATTCTCATAAACTGTTTCTCGAGTCATACATCAATGAATAAACCTACGAATATATTTACACCTAACCACCGAAAATTTTAAGTCTTTATGAAGGTAAATCCGCTGTACAGTAATCATCAAACGCAGCGCTGCACTACGCCGGATGAACGTGACGTCACAGTCGCCACACACTACAACAACAAGGCATGTCATAGAGCAGCAGTATATCAGGGAACATAACACACAACAAAGGACAACATACCACATTACGACACCATACAACATACCACATTACAAACACTAAACATACATACACACAGCACAATACACAGCAGAACACAAGAGCAGCAACAGGCACAGCATTATCACACAGCAACTCTTGTCACAGCGTAGGCGAGTCCCTTTAACACAGCTCAGGTATCGCTGGTCTGCTCAGGGAGAGGCGATAAAGCTGATTAAATTGGATTATTGTTTCCCTTTAAAACCCCATTTACGGGTCGTGGGACTTGCTGGAACCCGAGGAGGAGGAGGGGGAGGTCTGCCGCATGCGGAAACTTACATAGTGGTACGTGTGGAAGCTCTGGAGAAAGCAGAGTCCACATGCGATAACACACACAGTAACACGTTTAGGAAATCTTGAACGGAATCACTTGTGGATATATTCTCAGTAGAGTGTAAGGAAGAATGTACCTGGAGGGCAATGCGGTAATATCCACAGTAGGAACTGAACAAACCTGCGGTGGTGGTGGTGGGGATTCGCATGTGGAAACTCACAGTCTTGAAACTAAGTACGAGAAGGACTAAAGAGATTAGACTTGTTTTCGAAGAAGAAGAAGAAAGAGGGATGGACAGGAAGAAGGAAGAAGGAAGAAGGGAGAGGAGAGAAGGACAGCTGAAGCTCGTAGAGTCCCAAGGCAGTGATTAACTGACAGTCAGGATGAGGCGTCCGTCAGAAGAGAGAGAGAGAGAGAGACTTATATACAGTATACATGCACATAGATATACATATATACCCACACACAGATGTTCAAATACATAAATACCCATACGTATACACACACACACACACACACGTTATATACAGTCATATATACATACAACGTCGTATATACATAACCAAACAGGTATACACATGCGTTTGTTTACTAATATTCGATGTAAACAAGACCGGTGCTTAACCTTTGCCAGTCTCTCTCTCTCTCTCTCTCTCTCTCTCTCTCTCTCTCTCTCTCAGGTAAGAGAAATTCACCCCAATACGAAGGTGAACTGATTGACGTTGAAGAAATCTCTATCAATTTACTAGTGATACCTTGAGGAGGTGAAGTGACAGAGATTGGGGCGTAGCAGGGAGATGCAGATGGCAGGGAGGTTGCAGGGAGATGGCAGGGAGGTTCCATGGAGATGACACAGAAGTGGCAGGCAGGGAGTTGGCAGGGAGGGATGACAGGCAAGGATTTGGCAGGGAAAGGGTCGGGAGATGGTGACAGAGTGGGTGGTTGGGAGGTAGGCAGGAGGGGTGACAGCAGGGGGTGGGTGAAGTGGCAGACAGGAGGGAGGGAGGAGGTGGTAGACAGGAGGGGGAGGGTAGTTTGTTTATCGCTATTTTGGGTCGCCTTGCAGTTTCTTTTTCTCTACTATTTTTATTCAATATTTATTTTCGTCAGTTTTTATTTATAGTTCGTATCCCCTTTGGTCTAGGAGGTATTTTTTCTCGATATTTTCTTCCTTGTTTACTAAATATAGTGGTGTGTGTTTAAAGAATTTGTCCCCCAACATTTCCCTGCTCATTAGTGAAGCTTTTCTATTCCTTTATTATTTTGGTCATAGCTTTAGTAAAATTCTTAGGGACGTTCCCCCACCACATGTGTTATTTATAAGGCTGACTCAAGTATCGTAAGTAAAATTATTCTTTGTTTTCTATTAAGTTTTTCTATTGAGTTTTACACGTGTTTATTAATTTATTCAATCATTTCCACAACTCTATTTATTATTAGTAGTAGTTGTTGCTTTAGTTTTATCGGTACTATTATTATTATCATTATTATAACGAAAGAAGGAGAAAAATAACGAAACAGAACAAACACGAAAACCGCCTCAGTCAACAACAACGATGAACGATGAATAAACAGGAATACTTAAGGACAAAAGTAAAAGAAAGTAGTCAAGAGGAATGAAAAACAAACATAAAACGGAGTCAACAACAAGCATAAACAAACAACTGTGTGCAAACAGAAGGCAAACCAAGCAGCAACTCCCTAGGGGCACCAGGTAGACTCTTATACTCAGTTGTTTTGGTTGTCTACCTCCCCCAACCACTTCCACAGCTTGTAAACACTGAGGACAATGTTGGGAGGGGAGGGAGGGAGGGGTGGAC